TTTCTTGAAATTATTATGAGGGATCATCTTATTTACTACCGTCGTTCTAAGTAAACAAGATGCATAAACATGATAAACATCACATGCAATCAAATAGTGACATGATATGGCCATCATCACTTTGCTCCTCTTCGGGGCTCCATGATCATCATCGTCATCGGCATGACACCATGATCTCCATCATCATGATCTCTATCATCGTGTATTCATGAAGTTGTCTCGTCAACTATTACTTCTACTACTACAGCTAACGGTTAGCAATAAAGTAAAGTAATTACATGACGTTTATGTTGACACGCAGGTCATAAATAAATTAAGACAACTCCTATGGCTCCTGCCGGTTGTCATACTCATCGACATGCAAGTCGTGATTCCTATTACAAGAACATGATCAATCTCATATATCACATATATCATTCATCACATCCTTTTGGCCATATCACATCACATAGCATACCCTGCAAAAACAAGTTAGACATCCTCTAATTGTTGTTTGCATGTTTTACGTGGCTGCTATGAGTTTCTAGCAAGAACGTTTCTTACCTACGCAAAAACCACAACGTGATATGCCAATTGCTATTTACCCTTCATAAGGACCCTTTTCATCGAATCCGATCTGACTAAAGTGGGAGAGACAGACACCCGCTAGCCACCTTATGCAACTAGTGCATGTCAGTCGGTGGAACCAGTCTCACGTAAGAGTACGTGTAAGGTCGGTCCGGGCCGCTTCATCCCACAATGCCGCCGAATCAAGATTGGACTAGTAACGGTAAGCATATTGAACAAAATCAACGCCCACAACTACTTTGTGCTCTACTCGTGCATAGAAACTACGCATAGACCTAGCTCATGATGCCACTGTTGGGCAACGTAGCAATAATTCAAAATTTTCTACGTATCACCAAGATCAATCTATGGAGTCATCTAGCAACGAAGGAGCAGTGGATCTACATACCCTTGTAGATCGCGCGCGGAAGCGTTCAAGAGAACGGGGTTGATGGACTCGTACTCGTCGTGATCCAAATCACCGATGATCCTAGCGCCGAACGGACGGCACCTCCGCGTTCAACACACGTACGAAGCAGCGACGTCTCCTCCTTCTTGATCCAGCAAGGGGGAGGAGGGGTTGATGGAGATCCAGCAGCACGATGGCGTGGTGGTGGAAGTAGCGGGATTCCAACAGGGCTTCGCCAAGCGCTGCGGGAGGAGGGAGATGTGTCATGGGAGGGAGAGGGAGGCGCCAGGGCTTAGATGTTGTTGCCCTCCCTTCCCCCCACTATATATAGGGCCAAGGGAGAGGGGGGGGCGCAGCCTTGGCCCTTCCTCCAAGGAAGGGTGCAGCCAAGGGAGGAGTCCATCCTCCCCAAGGCACCTAGGAGGTGCCTTCCCCCTTTAGGACTCTTCCTTTCCCTCATCTCTTGGCGCATGGGCCTCTTGGGGCTGGTGCCCTTGGCCCATATAGGCCAAGGCGCACACCCCTACAGCCCATGTGCCCCCCAGGGGCAGGTGGACCCCCTTGGTGGACCCCCGGGACCCTCCTGGTGGTCCCGGTACGTTACCGATAAAACCCGAAACTTTTCCGATGACCAAAATAGGACTTCCCATATATAAATCTTTACCTCCGGACCATTCTGGAACTCCTCGTGACGTCCGGGATCTCATCCGGGACTCCGAACAACTTTCGGGTTACCGCATACTAATATCTCTATAACCCTAGCGTCACCGAACCTTAAGTGTGTAGACCCTACGGGTTTGGGAGACATGCAGACATGACCGAGATGACTCTCTGGTCAATAACCAACAGCGGGATCTGGATACCCATGTTGGCTCCCACATGTTCCATGATGATCTCATCGGATGAACCACGATGTCAAGGACTTAATCAATCCCGTATACAATTCCCTTTGTCTAGCGGTACGATACTTGCCCGAGATTCGATCGTCGGTATCCCGATACCTTGTTCAATCTCGTTACCGGCAAGTCTCTTTACTCGTTCCGTAACACATCATCCCGCGATCAACTCCTTGATCACATTGTGCACATTATGATGATGTCCTACCGAGTGGGCCCAGAGATACCTCTCCGTTTACACGGAGTGACAAATCCCAGTCTCGATTCGTGCCAATGCAACCGACACTTTCGGAGATACCTGTAGTGTACCTTTATAGCCACCCAGTTACGTTGTGACGTTTGGTACACCCAAAGCACTCCTACGGTATCCGGGAGTTGCACAATCTCATGGTCTAAGGAAATGATACTTGACATTAGAAAAGCTTTAGCATACGAACTACATGATCTTGTGCTAGGCTTATGATTGGGTCTTTGTCCATCACATCATTCTCCTAATGATGTGATCCCGTTATCAATGACATCCAATGTCCATGGTCAGGAAACCGTAACCATCTCTTGATCAACGAGCTAGTCAACTAGAGGCTTACTAGGGACATGGTGTTGTCTATGTATCCACACATGTATCTGAGTTTCCTATCAATACAATTCTAGCATGGATAATAAACGATTATCATGAACAAGGAAATATAATAATAACTAATTTATTATTGCCTCTAGGGCATATTTCCAACAGCATGTTGAGTTGCTTGACGACTCGTCGGACGAGGAGCACTTCGATGAGACGGCAATGATGCAGGCGGTTCTTGAAGACGCGGATCGTGCGGAGGAGCATGTTCTCAATTTCAAGGGCTCGATCAAGGGTCATCGAGTGCTCAACTGCAACAAGGCGCGCGACCATTTGATACTGATGGCCGGCTACTTTGCCTCTGATGCACTATTTGCTAACCATTTTCGTCAGTGTTTTCGGATGCGCAAGACTGTCTTCGATCGTTTGTACCATGGCATCTCGTCTTGCGATGACTACTTCATCCTGAAGAAGGACGTCGTCAGAACTATTGGCTTCTCTGGTTACTAGAAGTGCACATCCACACTCTGGATTCTTGCATATGGCACGCCTGCTGATTCGTCGGATGAGTACCTATGGATGTCTAAGAGCACGTGTAGAGATGCCATGGTCAGGTTTGCAACTGCCGTGGTCGAGGTGTTCGGACCTCCATGAGAGAACCAACTGTGGCAGACACCAAGAGGCTCTTGGCAATCTCAGAAGTAAGAGGGTGGCCAGGTTTGCTTGGATCTCTTGACTGCATGCATTGAAAAATGGAAGAACTGCCCGAAGGCTTTAAAAGGGCAATATTAGGGTCATGTTAAGAAGCTCACCATGATTCTTGAAGCAGTTGCATCACATAATCTTTGGGCTTGGTACGCTTTCTTTGGCATGCTCGGGTCTCATAATGATATCAATGTGCTGCAACGATCGTCGTTGTTGTTTGCGAGGCTGGCTGAAGGAAAAGCTCATCCTTGCCATTATAATGTCAATGGACATGAGTACAATATGGGATACTATCTAGTTGATGGTGTCTATCCTCCATGGGCTACCTTTGTCAGCACCATCTCAAACTCAGTTGGCCAGAAAAAGGCTCACTTTGCCCAAAAGACAAGAAGCAACTAGAAAGGATGTCGAGAGGGCATTTGGAGCTCTGTAGGCTTGTTTTGCAGTTGTTCGTGGACATGCTAAACAATTGGATCCGAAACCTTGTGAGAGGTGATGACATGTTGTGTGATCATGCACAACGTGATTGTCGAGGATGAGGGTGATGATGCTTCTGCAGCTCTGGAATTTGAGAACATGGATGATCCTATCCAACTTTTGGACCAGAATCCGGCCACATTTGAAGAGTTTATTCAAATGCGTCAAGAAATTCGACATCGACCAACTCACAAGAAGCTGAAGGAAGATCTGATTGAGCATCAGTGGGCGGTGAAAGGGGGACAACAATGTTGGGATGCAATATTTGAACTTTTTTAAATTTGAACTAGTGTTGCATGCGACTACTTGGTCGTGCGGAGTTGAAAAAAACAATAAGGAAGGTCGGATGTATGCGGTTACGATTAGATGACCTCCTTCCGCATCCGTGTGTGCGGACTGGTCCCTCTGTCCGTCACAGATGCGAAAGAAAATTTGCGGGTTACCATTGAAGATGCCCTTACACATGTAATACACAGATGAGCTGAATAAAGATCAACAAGAAATATGCAGATTTGGGTTAGTGCTTAAATCCGCATATGGAATTATGACACAAAGAAGACACTCCCTTCGGATGGGAATATAAGCAGGCACGGGTTTATAGGTCTTACGTTTGACAAAAAGAATCAGTATGGCATAAAACTACATGATCCTCCATTCGATTCAATACATCTATTCAGCGACGAGTAATACGGGGTCGGAGGGAGTAAGAAAATTCGTCCAACAACGATTGTAGAACCGCTTGTTCGCTATCTAAAAAAACAATCAACAACGGTTGTAGAACCGCTTGTTCGCTATCTCAAAAAAACAATCAACAACGGTTGTAGAGATATATGTATATTTTGTGGCAAGCAACGTACTCCATATTTTGCTAGTCAAATGCAGTAGATAACCTAAGAAAATACTTATATTCCTATATCTAGAGGCAGTAAAATTATGAGCCAAGTAGATTGATTATTCGCCGTAAACATCCAAATGGCGTGGTCGCCATGGCAGCATGCGTAGCTTCCTCCCCCTTCCCTCTGTACGTTTGCAACCTGCTCCGATCCAAAAGCCAGAGAGGAGACACCTGCAGCGCACCGCACCGCACCGCGCCGTGGTATATAACCTCGCCCCGCGCGGCGGCACACGCACCGGCAGCGGCACCACCACGCCTCCCCTCCCTACCTACGCCTACGCGGCCCACGCCCACGCACGCACCGGCGAACAATCCGAGCTGGCTCTTTTGGCCATAGGCACAGCGGATCATTACCCAATCACGGATCTCTAGCCTCGCCTCGCCACCGCCCGCTGCTCCGCTCTGCCTCTGCCTCTGCCTGCTCACAATCTCCCTCGCCCCGCCACCGTCGCCTGCTGCCGCCCCTGCCGCTTCTTGTGCTGCCGCCGCGGCGACGAGGAGGAGGAGATGAAGGAGATGATGGTGGGGTCGGTGGCGCCGGTCGGCCCGGTCGGGAGGTGGGGGGCGGCGCCGCCGCAGGAGCTGCTGGAGCGGATGAAGGACTACGGCCAGGAGGGCGCCTTCGCGCTCTGGGACGAGCTCTCGCCCGAGGACCGCGACCTCCTCGTCCGGGACATCGAGGTGAGACCGACCGACCGACCGACCCCAATGCGCTGCTCTTCCGGTCGCCTCCGGGCGGGATTTCATGGCCGGATTTGGCTTTCTTGCGCTGGGATTTCTGTTCGCGCGAGGAGCTGATTCCTCGCGCAGGGACTGTCGGCGGAGGTTTTTTCGGCATAGGAAGTTACTTTCTGCATCGGGATTGTTAATCATGAAAGAAAGATTTCGGTTTTGTGTTGGAATTATGCTTGTCGATTCGGTCGTGGGCTGGAATTCTGCACGCGGAGCTGGTTTGATTTGATTTCAAGTAGAAAGTGCTGCTGGGATTTGTGGGGTGGAAGATGAGGATTTGAGTAGCAATGTAAATCTCCATCAGTTGCAGATGCTGCACATTTCGATTGTGGTGTTGCCTGACCTCAATCGAAATTTGCAGCATCTGTTTGCCATTTTGACACCGAATGAATACTGACGGAGCTGTGTGTACTAACTATGTTGCAGAGTCTAGATCTTTCGAGGATTGACCGGATCATTCGACGCTCTATGGGATCACAAGGTCAGAGTTCCTTCATTTGAACAAATTGCCATCATTCCAGTGAAGAAGAGAACAATGTGTATCTTTGATCAGCATTCTTAACTAACGTGGTGATCTTGCTAAACACAGGAGGCTATCTGGCGCCCGCCGAGCCCGTGCCGGAATCCAGCGTGTCGAGGGTGGAGGAGAGGTCTCCAGAGGACAAAGAACGGTGGTGGAAGAAGGGGCTGAGAGCCATCTCCGAGGGGAAGCTGGCCGTTGTCCTTTTAGCTGGTGGCCAGGTAATCTCATGAAATATAATCCCCCCAGTCCTGTTTTCTGATACTGCAGTCTCTGTAGTCTCTACCGCGCATTCTGTAGCATTATACTTATGATGATCTGATTTCTTCTCATGTTGTGCCTTGTGTGTAGGGGACTCGGCTTGGAAGCTCAGATCCTAAGGGGTGTTTCAGTAAGTCGATCCCATCTGAATCCTTGTATGTTAGTAGTTGACTGCATATGTGCAGTGGTGTGCTCTTCTTTTAAAACTAAAAAATAGTACACCATAGTGATTTTTTTAGTTCTTGGCACAATTCTTTATTCCATAGAGGCAGATTTCACATGCTGTAAATTGTGTACATCACTGTTATACACCATCTTTTAATCAAAAAAGGTGATTGGATGTACTTACTGTATCCAGTGTGGCATATTTGTTCATCCATACTAGTATGGAATTGCATTTTCTGCTGATAATTCCATAGCGGCAGATTTCACATGTTATAAATTTTGTACATCACTGTTATGCATTGTGTCCTGATCAAAAGGAAATGGATGTACTTACTATATCCAGCGTGGCATCTTTGTTCATCCATACTTGTGTGGAATTGCATTTCGCTGATAATTCGAATCTCCTTATATTACATTGATCATTGTGATTTTCTCTTGACACCTCATGTTGGCCTTCCAGGTATTGGACTTCCATCTGGAAAATCACTTTTCCAACTCCAAGCGGAACGCATTTTGTGTATTCAAAAGTTGGCTGCTCAGTCCAGTGATAGTAATATACACAAGCTTGTAAATTTTTCTTTGTCCTTTGCTTCACTTCACCTCCTTACCCTTGATTTGAAAATAATTTGCAGGTCCAAGAAATACTTTACCAATCCACTGGTACATAATGACCAGCCCCTTCAACGATGATGTCACACGCAAATTCTTTGAAAGCCGTAAATATTTTGGCTTAGAGGCTGACCAGGTAAGAACAAGTACAAAATTTTCCGTTGCATTGAATATTCATGGCAATTCAACAAACACGTGCATACTGTTGAATCTAATAGTAAGAGTTATCTTTAATAGCTAGGCTTGAAACGTTGATATCTTCTTGGCAGGTGACCTTTTTCCAACAAGGCACCCTTCCATGTGTTTCTGACGATGGCAGATTTATTATGGAGACTCCATACAAGGTACCGTGTTTCATCTTCTCTTTAACTTTTCATTCATGATCCATCTTACCATGTACGGCCAGGACGTTACAGTTTATAGCAATTTGTTTTCTAAGTTTTACTCATGGTGTGTGATCTAAGAGTTTAAATGCAAATTTTGATGCCTGCAAAGCTACTTTGATACTGCATATCTGCAATGCCAAATGATTGAATTGTTCTTACATGATCTTAAACCAGGTAGCCAAGGCACCTGATGGAAATGGAGGAGTTTATGCCGGTAATCTCCCATAGATATGGACCAGTTATTATGCATCTTGCAGTAGTTGTATTTTACCCACTATTAGATACTGATGCTTATTTTTTACAACTGTAACATCCCACAGCTCTGAAGTCTAAGAAGTTGCTTGACGACATGTCTTCACGGGGTGTAAAGTATGTAGATTGCTACGGAGTTGATAACGTATTGGTGAGGACATGCGCTTTGAGGTCTCATCTGATTTCCGCACCTTCTCGTTCGCTAATCGATGTCTTATGCGCAGGTTCGTGTTGCAGATCCAACGTTCCTAGGGTACTTTATAGAAAAGGGTGTATCTTCTGCTGCGAAGGTTGTTAGGAAGGTAAGGTCAAATATCTTTCGAGCTCGCAAAAGGAAATTCTCATAGTTCATCACTTGTTTTTTTTGGCAATTGTCATTTTTAGCATACTATGCACTTTGTTGATAGTCTGTCATATCCTTAACAGGCTTATCCACAAGAGAATGTTGGAGTATTTGTTCAAAGAGGTTGTGGTGGACCTCTTTCCGTGGTCGAGTATAGTGAAATGGATGCGGCTATGACTACTGAAATTAATCAATCAACAGGGCGCCTTCGTTATTGTTGGAGCAATGTATATTTCTATCCTTAGCTTGTCGCTCCCTCCTTCCCTGAATAACTGTGAGTCTGTGACAGATGATAAAACTAACATATTGCTTTGTTCTTTGCAGGTATGCTTGCATATGTTCAGTTTGGAATTTCTGAATCAAGTGGCAAACAGCCTTGAAAAGGACAGCGTGTGAGTGTTTCTATATCCAGTTTGAATTCTGAAATCATATAATTTTTGCGCCCTCTTCCCTCAATAACTCTTGAGTCTGGTTTTACAGTAGTTTTTTACCTACTTGCTGCTTATGTCTCTTAATCTTTCTGGGAGAGTGAGAGTTATAACTACAGTTTGTGATATAAGGATCTGCTAGGCATATCATGGCAAGTAATTTTACTTGGCACATGCTCTAGCATAAATTATGTTCTGTTGCAGCGCCTGACATTTGGAAATTTGGTGGCCAGGTATCATCTTGCACAGAAGAAGATACCTTCGATTCATGGGTATACAATGGGCCTGAAGCTTGAGCAGTTCATATTCGATGCATTCAATTACTCCCCGTCCATGACACTTTTTGAGGTTCAATTTCCATTCTGTTCCCTCTCCTTCTTTCCCCCCATTTTCTTTGGGTTTAAAAGCTTGAGATACTCACTGGCGCATATCTGAAAATCCAGGTGCTACGCGAAGAGGAATTTGCTCCAGTGAAGAATGCGAATGGCTCAGCCTACGACACCCCCGATAGCGCCAAACTGATGCTGCTCCGACTCCACAGCAGATGGGTAGTCGCTGCTGGCGGCTTCCTGACCCATTCTGTGCCCTTGTACATGACAGGTAATTCCTCACGTTTGCCTGTACCGTGAAACTTGCAGCACTAAATCACAACTCAGGCATTTCAAGACAAAACAGACTGTGATGGCCACCATTCTCATGACCCCTTTTCTCATAGGCGTCGAGGTTTCTCCGCTCAGCTCCTACGCCGGAGAAAACCTGGAGGCGATCTGCCGCGGACGGACATTCCACGCGCCCAGTGAGATCTCGTTCTAGGCGCATTGGTTGGTGACAGCGGCAGCAGATGGAGGAAGCAGTGTTGCACAGGGATTGCAAGGTCGAACGAATGCCTCGCAGTTTGGGACATTGGTTGTATTGAGCTGAGCTCTTTGAGCTATTGGCATTAGGGTTTTCAGGTACTGGCCAGACTGTTGTATCTTTTGTGAGTAATTGGCCCAGATTCTGAATGCGTCTTGGCTTTTGCCATTTGTAACTCTTTTGGCTGTTGCTGCCCCTTTAGATGAGCATCTTCAACTGTACTAATTTGGTGCCCCATTTATCTGCTGTCACGTTTCGACAGTGTCCGCTCTGAACCCCATTTATCTGTGCACGCAGCCTTGTCCTATCAAATTGCCTGGACACATATATAATTGGCGGGGGTGAAGAGAGATGAAAAAAAGAGAGAAATTGCTGCGGATAGATCGGGTCCAATGTGGCAGGCTATCCGGTCATCACATTTCCTCCCCACATAGGAGCTTGGGTTGGAGACCATTACCGTCCTTAGGGCCAACAATGCGGTCCACCAACACGGACACCATCAAATGTCCGTGAACACGGCACGACGTGTCCGAAGACAGGAATAGGGCGAAGGCCATTCAACCGGAGTCACTAAATGTCCTCTCATTTCTTGAAAAAGGTTAAAGAAAAACAAACCAAATGACCGTCTCTAGTCACTTTGACAAATTTATCTAGATCAATAGCAATTTAACCACACATTTAAATCCGACAAACACTCCTTGAAAGATGTTCGACAAGTTTTTCAATTCCATCGATCCCAAATACTCCCTTCGTCCTTCCTTTCCTTTGAGTTTGAACTTCTTCACATGTAATTCAGTTAGTGTGCCCATTGAGCTTTATTCAACAATGCATCATTGCGAAGGGGTTGCACTCGTCTTTGGTAGAACGTGCAAGCTAGCAATGAAGTGATCAACAAGTTGCAACATTGAGCAAATCAATAAAATGATCAACACATAGAGCAGCAAGAACGAAAACATGTGAGCTCTTCGGCACAATGCACCTTGCTAGCACTTGTGCACACACACTTCAATACTTGACATGTCCATGATCTTCTTCTATGTCGTAAGCTGTGTGTCCATGATCATCTTCTATGTGGTAAGCTGTGTAGTGCTTGTGTTCATTGAACCAAATATGCACACTTTGCCAAATTATGCTTCGTGCCTTGAAACTCCACACATCACACAGCAATTCATCCTCTTTATTCGAGTACGTAGCCATCGTGTTTACTACAACTTGATAAATTGTCAGGCGTTGTCGTGCCAGCAGTCAGGCAGGCAGATTTCTTAACGATAGCACTGTCCAAGGAGGTTCGGCAAGTCCTAGGTGTGATACAACAACGGTCGATCCAGGGTGCAGATACAGAACACAAGGGAGGGCAGAGTTCAAGGAAAGATGAATTCTGAAAATTTAGTTCTCAAGTCAACAAATCGACATGCCTACATATGGAGCTCTTTTTCTGTCATTCTCTGCTAACTCATACATACTAAATTATACTCCCTCTGCAAACAAATATAAGAGTGTTTACGAAGGGAGTAGTACATCATAATATTTTGTTACAGTTGATCACAATTGCAACTTTGCAACTTCAAATAATGCCAGCCATCAATTTTAGTTTTGCTTCATTAGATTAAAAACCTAATGCTGGAGAAGTTACTAACAATAGGAACAAGGCAACACACGGCTCGAGTAAATATCATATAACATCTGGGCAAACAAATTCACAAGGAACTGAGCAAAAGGACAATAAGGCAGTACAATTAAAGCGAAACTATTAATGATAGATAGATTCCACAAAACATGTTCAGATCACGACATTCGGTTTGACAGATAACACGGAATCAAATCTCGAAACAGCAGCCTGGTAGATTTCAAGTGCGAAAAAGTTCTGACTATGAACTACTCATGAATCAGAGTCTGGGCTTAGGCAGCGACGAAAGCCTTCTTCCCGCCTCCGGTGGTTCCAGCTGGAACGACCTTCAGGACATTGAATCTCACGGTTTTCGACAGGGGCCTGTTTCAGACAAGCAACATACTTCAGCACAAAAGAAAATAAGCTTTCTGCAGTAATCAATACATCAACTATATAATGATGAAGTGGAATATCACAGCATGTATGTAACAGTAACATAACTGCACAAGGGTCAACATACTAGAACAACCAGGCTAACATTCTCAAGTTGATAGTCATGCAAGAGTAATGAGTATTACCTGCACTGGCCAATGATGACATGGTCGCCTTCCTTGACACGGAAGCAGGGGGAGATGTGAGCTGGGATGTTGGAGTGCCTCTTCTCATACCTGCAAGGAGCACAATTGATTTGAGTTAGAAATGCCACAGGGAAGAAGCAATGCATTATGTTCTCAGAATCATCAATGGGTTTACTTGCCTCTGATACTTCTTGACAAAATGAAGGTAGTTCCTGCGAACAATGATGGTCCTGTTCATCTTGGCACTGTGGCAGGTTCCAGCTATGATTCTGCCCCTGATGGCAACAGTTCCAGTGAATGGGCACTTCTTGTCAATGTAGGTACCTGGAAATGAATAGGAATTAATACACCGTCGCAAGCTTAACAGAAAATAAGGCACAATTAACTATTCGTGATTTATGTCAACCACAGTACTAGCCAGACACTAGCAACAGAACATCAAGAAACAGTACATGGTACAATTCATGGCTCAATTGTTTCCACATGACCAAAAGAAAATGGGCTGTGGATCTAGAATTTACTAGCTTCAATTCTTTGTGTAGACTAGGCTAGCAAAGCCAGGAGAAATGTACTTAAGTATGATCTTAGGCACACATACTTGCATTCAAAGACTAGCATCACCTACTCAAGTATCAAACAGTGCTAAAATAGACGGATTGGCCCACTATAGTTTACCATCAATCGCCTCCCTTGGGGTCTTGAAACCAAGGCCAACACTCTTCCAGAAGCGGTTGCCAGCCTTGCCGGGCCTCTTTGCCTTGTCGGCCTTTTTGGTGCTAAATTGAACAGAAAACATTGTTAGGGTACAGGCATTACATGGGATCAATAAAAGATATGAACATTGCTAAACAACAACAGCACACAAGAAAGGTAATCAAACTCCTCACCTGAGGAAAACCTTTGGCTGCTTGAGGAAAGACTTCTCGGTCTGCACAACATATCAAGTTTAAACTACCATTAGAACAATTACAGCAACAAATTATGACATATTGTACACAGGAATAGAACAAACTAGAAAAACAATCTATACTTCACTCAGTGCTTGGCAAACTCAAAATGAACAATAGAACAATGGACACCAAGATCCTATCGGGTTCAAATGATCAGAGAATAGCACAAAGTACCAGTGGAACATAAGGATTTAGTCACAACACACAAGTCATTTAGCATAAGCTGCTAACAACTACGCCGAGACAGCAGAAATCAATGGATGAACTGGGAGTTAAACGCACAACCAATACATCGAAACGACGGCAAGTTCGTCTGACAGCAAAAGACTACGAACTCGCTACTGCAAGACACACCACGCTACCACTCGATTCGCAACGAACGCACAAGCTTCTACACGAACGGATCTAAGCATACATGGCCGATAAGCACGAAGGCGCCGCATCACACATCCCGAGCATCCGGCGACGGCAAGCGAACGGGGGGAGCAGAGGTAGAGCGCTACACGGGGAGGAGGAGGAGAGCCTTTACCTGCTCCGCCATGGCTGCGAGGTGGGCTTCGAGCGGCTCGGAGGCGGCGGCGGCGGCGGAGCGCGGAGATGCGGGTGCGAGGCTCTGAGAGGAGTTGGCGGCGGGGCGCAAACCCTAGGGGTGCATTCTTTCTTATAGCGCTGGGCGCCGCTGCGGAATGCGCAGCCCTTCCGGGCCTCTCCACCCGTCTCCCGGGCCGGCCCGTCACCGAGGTCCATAGGAGGCCCATCTATGATCGATTACTACTCGCGGCGGGGCCCGCCTCGGGGTTCTGGGCAGATCAGGCCGTTGATGGTGTGTTAGCCGCGGACCTGGGCCGTCCGATCTTAATGCTCGCTCCGACCGTCCTCCGTGCTGCAGACATAACCCAGAGAGAGAGAGAGAGATTGAGAGAGAGAGAGAGAGAGAGATCCCCTCGCCGTGGTCTCTCTTCCTTCCCCCACCTCCCTCCCCCCTCCGGTCACCGGCGCGGCGAGGCGGCCACCGCTGCTGTCTCCCCCCTCTTCCTCCCTCTCCGCGCGATAGGGTCTGGTGGAGCGGATTCGTCCCGAAGTCGATCGAACTGATTCGTTCGGTAATCTCCCAAACCTGCGCTGGTTCTGCGAACTCCTCGATCCGTCCCGTGCTTGCGGCGGCCGGCGGCGTGGGGGCACGCGCTGGGCCGCTGCGTGCGATCCGCGCAGAATGGCGACTCGATTGGTTGCGGCTGTTGTCTTTTCTGTCTGGAGAAATTAGTGACTGTGCTCCGCCGCTTTTGTGCAGTAATGGCGAACCTGCAGCCTTCCGTCCCCGAGCCCTCCTCCTTCGCAGGGGCCTCGCCGCCGTCTCCATCCTCGATCGGTGGAGGCGCTGCCTCGGCGGCGCAGGAGCCCAGGAAGATGGCGTCGGCGGAGCAGCTGGTGCTCGACCTCTGCGACCGCGAGCTGCGCGAGAACGCCCTCCTCGAGCTGTCGAAGGTCCGTCGCGTGCTCTTCTACTTCCAGGGTTCTAGCGCCTCGTCACGAGGACGGGTTGTGTGATTTGTGATTTTAAGTTACCATGAAGAGAGCGATTGTAGCTTAATTTTGGTTGCCATGAACTGAACAATTGCATACTGCGTGTTCTTCAGTCATTAGCATGCTATATAAGGTGTTTTGTAAGGCCAAAGTAAATCGGTAACCAATTGTACTCGTTTCAGAAACGAGAGATATTTCAAGACCTGGCCCCGCTTCTCTGGCACTCTTTTGGCACAATTGCTGCACTGCTTCAGGTATGCGTAATTCATCTATCTTCTATGTTTATGGTTTTCATGC